CTGGCCAGGGATAGAACTTGTGCTGCAGAGGCTGCGGATTGCTTCATATTGCGGTGCTTAATCCCTTGTGCCACCAGGGAGGCCCAAGATTTATTTATTTACGCATATAAGAACTGGGGTACAGGCCAGAGGTGTGAGGGGTGAGAGGATTCGCCAGAGACAGAGTGAGGAACAGAACAGGCAGACTGACTGAAATACACTGCTGAGGGGAGCAGCTGGCAAGTCAGGAGAGGTCTGCTGCACCATGTGGGTCATCTCCCTCGCCGGAGATTGAACTAGTGCTGCAGAGGCTGTGGATAGCTTCATAGTGCTGTGTCTTAACCCCTTGCGCCACCAGGGAGGGCCCTTCCCCAAATATTTTTAAATGAAAAAAAAGTCCCCCAAATATTTTTAAATGAAAAAAAATGTAAAGGAAGAAAAATGTCTTTTTCTCTACCCTTCTAAATTCGTTGCAGGGAATTCTGTAACAAAAGACAAATGAACACCTATGTTTATTGCAGCACTATTTACAATAGGTAAAATCTGGAAACAACCCAAATGCCCACAAATAGATGACTGGATCAAGAAGATGTGGTATTTATACACAATGGAATATTATTCAGCAATCAAAAAAGATAAACTCGTTATTTGCAGCAACATGGATGGAGCTAGAAGGAATTATGTTCAGTGAAATAAGCCAGAAGGAAAAAGAAAAATATCGGATGGGTTCACTTATAACAGGAATATAGGGGAACCAAATAAGACATCAGTGTAAAAAAAAATAACAGTACAAAACACAACAAAGCAAAAACAGACAATTACAAATCAGAGACATCCTGCAGGGAAGGAGGAGGGAGAAGGATCAGAGAGGGAGGGAGGGAGGAGAACAGGAGACTGTGGTGATGATGCACAGGTGCCTTGGGGAAGGAAATTCTATGGGGACTACACCTGAGGGGGTGGGGAAAAGAAATATTGTTAAAAATAAAAAAATTAAAAATTAAAAATAAAAAAATGAATTTTTGCAGGATAAAAAAAAGACATGAGAAAGAGAAAAAACATACAAATTTATTAAATGTAAGTTTTGCAACATTGAGAGCCTTCATAGGTAAATGCAGATCTAAAGAAGTGGTTCACCTCTGTTTTTATGCCAAGGGTGATGAATAGTAAAGAGTCATAAAAAATGGTGACGGGACAAAAAAAGCATATGGACTGGGAGTGATAAACTGGGGAGAACAGCAAGGAAATCCTGTTTGTTCAAATTCCTCTCAGCATCCCTCTCCAGATATTGAGAGGTCATGTCTCACATGAAGGGTTTATAACCTACTTTAGGGAAAGTTCAGGAAGTACTTCCTGCACATAGTGTTTCTCAAATTCCTTCATCTTAAAATATTTAATATGTCAAATTACCATATTTGGGGGTTGCATGTCTTGAACCTTGTCAACAGACAGTCCACTGTCTTTCCTTTCTGCCCCATCCCTATGGCATCTGCCCTCTTGGATTTCCTAGTAGCCGCTAACATAAATTTTTTGTTTTTGTACTTAACTATGTATGTATCCATAAACATTTAATGTTTCGACTGTTCCTATATTCCATAATTTCCTCACAAGTATATAACACCATCTGTGATACACTTTTTTTTTTAAAGATTTATTTATACATACAAGCACTGGGTACAGTCAGAAGCGCGGGAGGGTGAGAGAATTCACCAGAGCCAGAGCGGGGAGCAGAGCAGGCAGAGGGACCGAAGTACACTGCTGAGGGGAGCAGCGGGCGGCAGGAGAGGTCTGCGCGCCATGTGGGACCCTCCTCAGGTGGTCGGGGAGCAGCCGGGGATCGAACCAGCGCCGCAGAGGCTGCGGGCAGCTTCGCAACCCAACCCAGCGCTCAACCACTGGCCACCGGGGAGGTCCTGTGATACACTGTTGCACAGAGATAGAAAACAATCTGTGTTCGGGGGCTCTGGAGAGGGGTGAAAGGGGATGATGACTTAACTTTTTTTGGGGGATGATGAAAATGTTTTGAAAGTACATAAGGTGGTGGTGGCAGGATAATGTGAATGCACTAAATGTATTAACTGGTTGATTGTATGTTATGTACATTTCACCTCATTTTAAATAAAAGCCCTAACAAGTCACTGCAAGGTGTTAGGAAAGGGAGGGAGGGTGAGAAGACAGATTTAACTTGGGGAATTGTGGTTACTCTAGCTGCAGAATGACAGTGGCTTGGCAGGGGACAGAATTGCTGCAGGTGGAAGATTCAAGAGGCTCTTTATTTAGATGAGGTGATTTTTGGTGTCACATCGCACCCTTAGTTGGAATCCAGAGCATAAATCCCAAGTCCTCAAATGCATCCAAGGCCTTCTGCAATTTGGCCCTTCGTTTGCTCCTCTCAGCTGTGTGGGCTTGTGTTATTCTTCAATGTGCCAAATTGTCTCATTGCTGTTCACTTTGCCTGGAATATTATTCCACTCACTCTTGCCCTGCCAACTTTTACTTATTCTTCAGTTTTCTGTTTAAAGGTCATCTCCTGGATGTTCCTTCAACCTCCCTGAATGTGTTAGTTCTGTGCATCCTTGGGTCTTGAGTGGTACTTTTTCAGTTGCAATGAGAGGGTCCATCTGACTGCAAGTTCTAGAAGGGTGGATGCATCCCTGGCACTGAACCCCTTGTGCCTTAAACATGTGAACATTGAGGAAGAACTATGAATGAATCTACCTCTCAAGAAAATTTCTTCACCATTCTCTTCTCTCATACTTCGATCTCTACCTCCTTTGACATCTTTTTAGCTTCGAAGCATGTTTAAGTTTTTCTCCTTAAAATCACTTCTATTGATGCTGCTACATTCTAAAGTTATCACTTCAGTTCTCTTTCCTTTGAATACTGATAGATTTCTTGAAATAATTGATGAAATAGTATTTCCTCTTTCACATATTTCATTTTCTAATGAATATGTTAGCTTCCTTTCAAGTTTGGCAGGTCCTTAGAGAAGGCGCCATATCTGCTTTATTTTTCGGACAGTCTTCTGTGTGCAATGAGAGATATGATCCCAGAGGACATATTTGTTAGGCATCTATTACAGGAATCAATGAAATAGTATTTTCAAAATTTATTTTGAATTTTGTACCACAGGAATAAAATGCACTTAACTAAAGGGGATGAAGAGAGTTCAGTAGGGATTCTGAAGATAGTCCGGACTTAGCCTTTCTCTAGAAACAGAATTGCTGTGCTATCAGCCGGTGTTAGGCGCAGTTTTGGCTGTAAGAGGGAACAGGTATACGCGGAATGATGAAGGTTGCTTTGTGAGAGGGACTGAAGCCGAGGGAAAAGGCAAAGTAAAAGGGGCACTTAAGAGGGAGTGTTTTCAGTGGGTCAGCCTGACCGGTGCACGCAGGGAGAGAGGACAAGACCCCCAACCGCCTGCTGCTCTTAGCCTGGACTCTATAGCTTGACCACAACTTACCTTTTCAGCTTTATCTCCCATTTCTCTCCTCACGAACTCTACACTTTAACCAGAGAATAGGCCTTTTCCTAACTTTGCTGGCTCATTTTTATATCTTTTGTAGCATTCCCCTCTTCCTTCATTTTTACCTGTTGTAATCAGATTTATTCTTTAACGATCAGTTACAGCTCAAATACAGCTTTACTTTCCACTTGGAAGTGATCTGAGCTCCTTCGGTGCTTTCTTGTCACGTGCATTCAGAACACCAGTACATGAGACTATCCCATTTTTCTTCTTGAAATACTGTCTTCCCTTAATTTTCAGTGCTGCATCCCAGCCGCCCCCCCCACCCCCAGGTGGTTATGGGCCTCTCAGAAAGGGATTTAGAAAATTTTGACGAAGGCCCTTAAAAGCCTGGCGCCTTGAGGCTGAGCAGTGATCCTGTCTGGCTTTCCCGCCTCTTCATACTTGAGCTGTAGGAGGGCCTGCAAGTGCTGTGACCAAGAGCTGTCCATTCTATCTGTGGTGCTTCACAGGCTCAACTTTGTGTTCCGCATGGGGGCGCGGAAAACCCAGTGGCAGGCAAGGGTATTCATCTGGATCATCTCCTGGCTAGGCAGTTTCTATGCCATTTTTCTTCTCCTGCTTTCCCAGCTCTCTGACCTATTTAGCTATAAATTCTAGCTTCTGAGGACTTGCCTCTTTCTCTCCTTACTTGAGTCATTTGGGCAATTCTGCTTACCAACCCCAAGACTACCTCGCTTCTCTCCTTTCCTCATAGGTGCCCTGTGCTTAGCACACCAAGGGCATCAGGTTGCAGACAACCCTGCTGGAGAAAGGTCTCTGCTCAACAAGCCCCCTTCTGTCAGTTCCTTCCGCAGACCCTCTGGTAGCTGTGACAGTTTGGCTATGACTCCCCTATGATTGGCAGCTTGTTTCTGAATTTGTCTCACCCTATCTTAAGGTGTCAGATTATATTTGCCTGAGTGGAGAGGGCATATTCACAGCCTGAGAACCCAGATTTTATGCAGACCTGACCTTGTAGGTAAATTGGTATTGACCATGGCGGCACTTTGATGGGTTGCACAGAGAGAGAGAGTAGATGGTGAACGGGAGGTGTGTGAAGGGTGCACATGAATGGCTCTTTCTCTAACACAGCCAAGGAAAGGCCAGAGTAGTTGTGGCTCTGAAAATTTCCCCTTCAAGATATATAACTAAAGATGCAGAACTTAAGTGGATTCAAGGAACCTTGGAATGTAAATGAAGAATTTCACTGGAGGGCCTTCCCGGTGGCGCAGCGGTTGAGCGCTGGGTTGCAAAGCTGCCTGCGGCCTCTGCAGTGCCGGTTCGATCCCCGGCTGCTCCCCGGCCACCTGAGGAGGGTCCCACATGGCGCGCAGACCTCTCCTGCCGCCCGTTGCTCCCCTCAGCAATGTACTTCGGTTCGGTCCTTCTGCCTGCTCTGCTCCCCGTTCTGGCTCTGGTGAATTCTCACCCTCCCGTGCTTCTGATTGTACCCAGTGCTTGTATAAATAAATAAATCTTTAAAAAAAAAAAAAAAGAATTTCACTGGAACCCTAGGCCTCAAAGCCACCTCGGTCGGTCAGTTATCACCACTACTCTCCATTGCCAGGTTGAAGTTTTTATTTGAAAAATTGAAAACACAGATGCAGTGTAGTATACAAAGAAGGGCCTTAATACCATAATAAAAGTACTGTTGGGAGGGAACAAAAGCCAGTGGCTACCTGCCCTGGGAAGGTAGGCACTCAGTGAAAAATGAAATTCATTTTATAGGAACTATTCTAATGGAACATTTGGGGAAAAGGTTAAAAACAGAAGAGAAAAACAAACCCAACCCATCTCTGCAAACCTAAACGTGAGTTTGTTGTAAGTTTGAGACAATTTGTGTTATCACCAAGATTGATCTGAACCACCTCGGTTTGTCCCTATGAGTAGTAATCAGCTTAATTTAGGGCCTTCAAACCTGAGGTAGCTGAGGATCACCTGAAAGACATGTCTGGAAATTTCCTACTCTCAGAATCGGACCCAGTGGCATCTAGCCAATTGTTTCATGTCACCTGGGTTCCCGGGCTGAGTGGCTGTGCCACTGCTGTTGGTTGCTGATCGAATATTTGTCTGGACCTGGGAGACAGAGGACTTGAGCAGCAGATGGCTGGCCCAGCTTGCTATGTGGACAGCTGGCAGGCCTGTGGTGGTGGCTTTCTGTGCTACAAGCAGTGCGGTCCCTGGAGTGTTAAGGATGGCAGAGCAATGGCAAAGCCAGGCTGGTTAGAAGGCCAATGCTGGGCTGAAGACTGTCATTGGTAGGAAGGATTTCTAGAGAGGTGGCAAGGTGGTAGAAGTAGCAAGAAATCGGCCAGTTACTCAAGACCAGCGGTAAGTGGAGCCAGTAGACCCCCCTAAACTAAGGAAATGGCCTTGAAGTGAGCACTTCCCAGGTGCAAATTCTGAACCAGCCCCTTCTGGGGAGAAGCTAAAGCAAATCAATCTGATCAATCCCATGGTAGCTGGTGTAACCGGGGTGCTTGATCTGGTAGTCTAAACAACTCCAAAAAAGGATGCTCTGAATAACATTTGGTTCCAACTACTGGGTTAGCGACTCAGATTCAGGTGGGATCCCAGGGATCCTGCTATGGGCAAGAGGATCAGCAAACAATCTAAATTAACGTCTAATTTAAACTCCTTGCCCAGATATAAAATAACCCCAGAAAAGGAGGTTCTGTTTTCTAGGTTTTTTTTCCTTATTATGTACACATAAATCCTTGCTTTAGAGATATGAGAGCACTGTGTTACAGAATTAAATAGCGGGTGCTGAATTTAACATCTCATCAATCCTAAGCCACTATTTTTTTGCTGTCCTCTCTTGCTATGACGCATTTACACCCACGAGACTTTGGTCACTAATGATGCTCAGTGACTAATTTAAAGGCTGTGAAGTTCATTTTGAGCCTTAAGGTGCGATCCCTGTTTTAATCTGTTTCATACCAAGTATAACATTCACTTTCACAAGAGCCAAGATAGGACAACTTGATTTTGGCTAGAGAATGGGTAGCTCCTGTTTGAGTGATGGTGAAAGTCATTATATTACATCCAACGGTACTTCTGGTTAAGTGCTTTCTCAAATGTTTTATTTCTCATGCTAAGTCCATGAAGGTTTTAATAATTACCATGGCTTCTTATTAGGGGAGAAACTGAATGTGGTGCAATACACTGGACACCTAACACCCCCCCCTCCCACAGTAACTTGGAGCCAAATGTTTAAATGGCCCAGATTCTGGAAGTGAGGGACGGCCACCATTGGAAATGCTGACCCACACTGAGAACACGCTGTTCGGCTTAATTGGCACATCTCTGCCAGGGCAGCCACACACCACTCCTTCTGAGCCGTGGGTGGAAACTGCCAGTACAAGAAGCATTACACATAAGACAGCACAATCTCTATTGCCGGCCCCCCCTTCAGCCCAGTCTCGTAATCCAAGCTGCTGGGAGACAGTGTTTTGAGTGCCCTGCTTTAGAAAATGCACAGAGAGGGAGTTGGGGAGCGAGGAAGGAGGGAGGGTTGATTCACAGTGATCAAACAGGAGTCCTACAACCTGTCACGCAGCAAAACCTAGCAACGTTCCGTGGGGACAGATCCTGGGAAGTGCTTGTTGGTTACTACCTGTGAGTTGCTACAGATAAGAAAGGAAGACACTTTGTCCAAGACTGGAAGGTCACTTAAATGTTGGGGTCCACCTGGAGGGGGAAGCACTGTCAGGCTGCCTTTCTCTAGGAGGCTGCTCATGCCCCTCTGTCCTCATCCCGTCCACAGGGCAGTGAGGCCGGGAGCATGAGGCTGGAGGTCAGACCAGTGGCCCCTTTCACGCTGTCCCTGACCCAGATGCTCTGAGGGCCTGCTTGCTTCAGGATCCAAGCCAGTAAGAAGTCAAGAGGGCATCTTGGACTCGGCTGTAGTTCTTGAAGACGGTTGTTCCAGGGTAGCCATGCCAGCCATGCCAACGTCACATCTGAAACCCTGATTGCTTCAAGTGTCTTTCTGCAGGCGGCTGCTGCTGCTGAATAGAGTAATAAATAGTAAAGATGCCAAACAAGGCACAGGGCTCTTTCCTGCAGTCTGTCTGGTCTTCTGGGTCTGTCAATTAGGTAGAACATGGAACTGTCTTCTTCAGATTCAAGAGGATGCCAAAGCAGATATCTGGAGAAAGGAACTAGAAACCCCTCGCATTCTGCCTCTTAGGGCCCTGCCCGGGTCTGAAGGGAGGTGGCCAACTTGAGGTGGGCGGGCAACTTGTTCCAGGGGAAGAAGTCAGTGTGGCTGCTTTCACCAGCTCCATTCAAGCATGAGATAAGGTTTTTCAACCTGGTCACCAGGAGCTCCCGGGAAATGCATCTTGGGAAGAGCCAGGCCATGAGCACCCCTCCTCTCTCTCCTTCTGTAGCCCTCTCGCTTGTGAAGGTGGGCAGAGGCTTCCAGCGGGGCTCCAGTTTCAGGAAGGAAAGGCACTCGCTCTGCTCCTGCCTCTTGAGGAAAGTGTGGCTCAGCAGTGTGCCCGGCAGGGGAGGCCCCGGCTGACCCACGCGCTTGGCGGGCCGTGCGGTGAGGAGGCTGATGTGGAGCACCAAGGTGAGGCCCGGCAGCACCATCGCTGTGAACTGCTGTGGTGAGGGGACCCTGACAGCGCAGCGCCCCAGGGCGTTCGCGGTGCGAGAGAGTTGGCTATAAGAGTGAAACTTGAAAAAAGAAAACCAAAAAACCCAACCAACCACTGCAAGAAGCAGTGGGAATCCATGAACGGCCAAAAGAGGGGGAGAACTGCCTGGGCATTCTCAGCCAGGACACTCCTGCTGTTCCTCCGACTCGGTGCACAGATTCAGGGTAGTGTCCTGGGTTGGAATCCACCAGCCCTCTGAGGCTCGCAAGTTTGTGCAAATGATGAAACTGAAAAGACTGAGAAGAAAACAGAAAAGAAAATGTGTAAGATCTTCCCTCTCCAGGCACTCAACAGAGCAACAAGCCCCTCTCATAAGGACACCGATTCGGGGTGAATCAGCAGGCAGGACTGGGAGGGAGGTCCTCTCTGTGGAGATGGCCCTGGTCCCCTTCTTCTCCGGGCCAGTCTGGACACTGGGGAGGCGGAGAAAGAACAGAGATCACGGGTTTGAAAGGAACGGGTGTGAGTGTGAAGGGAGTTTCGGGAAGGGCCATTAGGTCCTCAGAACTGGACAATGGGGGTGGTGTGACTGCCCTTGAGGCTCCAAGGGTTTCGGCTGTGGCTGGGAGGATAACAAACACACAGATGGGCAACAAGGGTTTATACTCTGATGTGTGGGGCTTCAGTGTGGCTCTATTCTTTTTCGGTTACCGCTTCTTGCAGTGTAGGTGGAGATGCTTCTGTTCCTAAAAGACAATAATAACGCATGTTTCATTCTACTTCATGCACACACACATTCGTTCAACCAACAAAAACTGCCACCATGTTAGGTTCTAAACAACATCATAGTCACAACCGTGATGTAATCTTCTAGTCCAGCAATGACTAGATATGTCTGTAGTGGGTTCCCAGAGTCAACCAAGTCCCAGGAGAATCAACAATCTTGGCTGTGATCAAATTAGCCACTTTGAGCATGAAGTGACATTCATGGAGTTTCTGGGCTTGTTGGCCAAGTTCACTCTAGTCCATTTATCTTAGCTCCTGACCCTCTATCTTTTGACCAATGTTGCCCATCGCTGGCGCTAGCCCCTGTCTGCCAGATCCCCACTGACCACTCTTCATTCATTCATATTCAATTTTATACTGACCCACAAACTAAACTGGGGAGCACTGCAGGGCCCAAAAGGCAATGGTGCCAAGTGAGCACACAGTCTACTGGTCAATAAAGGTGGTCAACTATAGGTTGTTAAAGTGACAACGAAAGCTTTTAATTCACCACACTTTACCCTGCTGTGGGCTTAAAGGTTAGTTATAACTGCAGAGCAGACATGCCTGTGAGTGGAGGAGGAGGAGGAAGTCAGTGACCCAAGGGGCAGGCAGGCCCCATCACACAGCGCCGTCCCCTCACTGTGGCTGGCTCTGTTCCTCAGAGAGTCTTACCTTCTTCCCAGCCCTCAGCAACACCAGCAAGCTCATAGTGCTTTTTTCGAAGCTCTCCCAGCTTTTGACGCTCCTTCTGCAAATCATTTTCCAGCTCTAGTACCCTAACCTGTGGGAAAGTAGAAATTTCTTTTCAGGAGTTATCCGAGAACTGTCTTAGGCTGACTTAATCCATTTCCTCTCTGTGTTCTAGTTTTCTACACCCACGTTATTCACCCCCATTTCCAAAGCTTACCCATCTTTAATTTTGGCCCTTGTCCCTGCTATAATTTCTCGATCCTCTCATCACCCATTCTTCCCAGTGGCTCTTATGCTTTCTCGCTGTGACCCTTTACTGGAAATGGTGTTTTACAGCCCAAGTGCCTGAATGGAACTCGGGCTTATCTTGATGTCTCTCTGATGGATCACTATCTAAAACCAGCTTGGGTGTTCAGCCCATCTATATGGTGTGTTCCAATCCCATTTTAGCCCTTCTCCTTCAATCTCAGTTCACTGGAAGCCCACGAAGAAAAACAAATGTGATGGTTCTGGCATCTGAGGGCTGTTACAACTTCGGATTTTTATTGCTATAGGAAAAGGCACAGACAGGCTTACAAATGGTTCTTGGCTATCGCTTTTTCTCTTTAATTTTACTTATCTTATTTATTAATTCAGAAAATATTTGCTGAGCATCCATCATGTACCCTAAGCTCTATTACAGGAGCTGCAGACACTGGTACATAGACAAGGTCCCTGCTTACCTTGTAGGGGGAAGAGATAAACTAATGATTAAGAAAAGATCAAGTCATGAAGAAACTGACACAGAATGATGTGATAAAGACTAAGGGTGGTCAGTAGAGGCTGCTGCAAAGGGCCACCAGAGACCAGCTGTTTAGAGAACTGGTGAAGAATGTTCTAGGCACAGGCAGGAGCGGGACAAAGACTATAAGGCAGGAATGGACTTGAGGTATTTGGGGAATAGAATACAGCCTTAATGAAGGGTGAAATGCAGCTAGTTTGAACAAAAAGGAGGGAATTTTAGGGAATTATGTGCAAAAAAGTAAGTCAGAATGAGGATAACAAATATTGGACATTTTACATAGGAGACAATTAAAGAAATGAGTGAATATTAATAAACACCGCGAGGGCTGAGATTTAAGAGGGGAAGGCAGAAAGGGACAAGGGGACACAAGGATGATGGTGGGGGAAAAAAACAAAAACAAAGATGACTCCTAGGCTTGCTTTCAACACCCAGGCATGTGGTGGTGCCACCTGCTGAGATGGAGAAAAGCAGGAGAGGCAGATTTGGGTGAAAGGGCAACCTAGAGACCTGTTTTGGACATATTAAGTTTGAGATAGTCTTTGGGCATCACTTGGCCATACCAAGCAGGTAGCTGGACGAGCACTGAACTCAAGGAGAAGATCCCGGCCAGGGAGGAGAATTCGGTGAAGTCAAGAGGGACTGGACCAGACCGCCAAGCAAGACACAGAGGCCGCTCAAGTGTAAGCTCAGTTCTTTCGGTATTTACAAAGAAATTGGGTCACGTAACTTTCCCCAAAGACGCAGAGTGACCCATCTGTAGCCCTTTAACAACTGCCATCTGCACTGGACCCGAAGGCTGATGACCAGGAATGTCAGTCTTTTTTTTTTTATTTCAGGATCTCACTGACTCCTATTTTGTAAGGCTCACCTTTACAGAACTGAGAGAAATGGCTTTTGATGGGTTAACATTAAATCAATTTTTTAAAAAACTAAAGGTAATACACATAATTTATATCAGAAACTTTTAAGAACTTATCAATACTAAGACTATTAAGTGCCAGTTTGTGCGAGGAGACTCCTGATAACAGAGGATCACCAGCCCAAGGCTAATGGGCAAGAGATTAGATTTTTTTTTTTTTTAAAGATTTATTTATACAAGAACTGGGGTACAGGCCAGAGGCACGGGAGGGTGAGAGGATTCACCAGAGACAGAGTGGGGAGCAAAACAGGCAGACAACCAAAATACATTGCTAAGGGGAGCAGCGGGCGACACAGGAGGGGTCTGCCGCTCCATGTGGGTATCTCCCTGGCTGGCCGGGAATTTAACCCGTGCTGCAGAGGCTGTGGACAGCTTCACAGCATGGCACTCAACCTGCTGCACCACTGGGGAGGCCCAAAAGGTTAGCTTCTGATCTTCACTCATCACCTCTCTCCACCACCACCACTTACATTCCTTCTTGAACTGACAGGTACATCTGTGATCATTTGCGCCCAGGTCTCTGTCATCGGCTTCTCTCAGGGGGTTGACATTTGGGGCCTATACCACAGGCAACAGAGATGAGACTAAGAAGTGAAGCTCCTACCTGGGAATCCATCTCCTGGCGTTTGATCTGGGTCAGCGTCATGCTTGAGAAGTCCATATTGTCTGCAAAGATGGATATTCTCTTGTCAAATAATATCCATTATTTGTCAAATAAAGTAAAAAAAAAAAAAAAAAAGAAGGTCAAATAATATTCTTTCCTGGCTGACTCATGCCTGAGAGGCTGGCAATGCCAGTGCTCAGCTGAAAGCTCCATTTGCCATTTATCAACATGAGGGAAGGAGGTAAAGGAAGATGCAGTGGCAGGATAACCAGGGTCAGATTCCACCCCCAGGAAATGACTCTGTAGAATCATTTCTTTTGATATCAGAAAAATAGCTAATTGCAAAACCCACATAAAAGCCTGTCACCACGGCAATAGGGCCACAAGTCACTTAATGATGGGGACAACATACTATTTTGTCAGTGTGCAGACGTCACAGAGTATAATGACACTACACAGACATAGATGGTCCAGCTTGGCCACAGCTTGCCTAGATGCTGTAGCCTACTGGAGTCACCATGGAATAGGGGGCCTATTGGTGAACAAAACATTAAGTGACACACAACCGTTTAAACCTAGCCTATGTGTATGGGGCCTCAACTACTGAGACGAGTGTATGAAAGTAAAGAGATGAAAAATAAGACTCTGGAAATTGGGATGATGCAGAAGAACATAAAGAACAGCTAAATGGGGCGGGCAGGGGGTGAGAGAAGTGCTGCATCGGGAGGGTTACCTGTCTCCTCAATTTGGGATTTGCCAGAAATGGTGGACGCCACAACCGCGGCGGTGGCCTGGTTCACCCCCCGGGAGGCCTGCTGCAGCTGGGTCAGGTTCACGCTGTCCTTATCAGCTTTCACCTGCCAGGACAAGTAGATTCATGTTCACGCAACACAGAGGGCGATGACATTGTCAAACTGGTCTGATGACTCGAGGTGACAGTCAATCAACTTCTCAAAATTGCTGCTTAGAGAATCAACTTCTGGCTTATCTCTAATATAAAAAACCATTCCAGGCTTATTTGCTTGGTGGCCTCAAACTCTTGCTTCATCATATATTTTGATAAAGTATTGCAGCTGGGGAAACCAATTTGGGGCAGTAAATAAGGATGATAAAAGAACACTCCCTGGGTACTATGAAACTCAAAGAAGGATTAGTGACAAGTCTTGCAGAATGACCAGTTGGGACAATGTTTCAAATCTGGAGCTCTGTGATGGGGAATCAGAGGTCAGTGTGCTTGCGTGGAGTGGGGCCTAGGGATGAAGGGAGCTGAAACCAGGGTGGGAGACAAAGGCGACTCCAAAGGTATTAATAATGTTTCTTAAGTTTCAAATAGTCCTCAAAGACCATTTGTAACAAAAGCGAGATGAGCTGCAGAGGCGCACATGTGGGGAGCTGGGAAGAGGGGCTCCTCGCTGGCTGAGGAAAGGCTTTTTAGGAGAGTAGTGTAGAACCCTAGAGAGGCCAACTTTAAATTTGGGACCCAGCTCACCCAGGCCCTGGGTTAATCATCTGTTCTTGGTGCGAGCTCCATGGTCCAAGTCTTCTCTAACCTAGCCAGGTCTTAGTGTCCGAGGAGTCCAACACGGGCCCTACCTTGGAGGCAGCCACAAGCTGTGCTGTGCTTGCGGCAATTTCGTGGGAACACACCATTAGCTCCTCGAATTTCCCTTTGCCTTGTACCACCAGATCAGCTGCATCCCTGGGAGGAAAGGACAAGATGGATGGGGTCACGGACAGATGTCACCTTGAGACTCCGCACCACCTTGCTGGACAGGGAGGACAGCCTCTTGCCCCAACGCCCCACGTTGCCCAGGAGATTCAACTATTAGTTCTGCCGACTTTCTATCAAACACCTTATTGTAAGGGCACGTGTTTTCCCTTCAGTTGTTGTTTGGGGTGATCAACAGAACACGGGGTGGGGTGAGGAGCCTCGGGACCCAGAGACACTTACACCATCACAGTGGCTCCCCAGCCCACAGCTTTGGAGGCTGAGATGAGTCCTTCCGTCCACCGAGAATTCTTGGCATAGAACTCTTTAGGGGATGCTGTCCCCTAGAGGAAGGAGAAATAATAACAGCTACTTTCAGGGAGTGCCTACTATGTGCCAGGGACTTTCATAGCTGTTAGTTCACACAGTGCTCACAGTAATTCTGAGAGGTAAACATTATCCTTCCCAGCCTACAGGTGACAATACCGAGGTTCTGAGGCAAAAAAATAGGTTTTCTAAGGTCATGCAGGAAATAAAGAGAAGTAAATCTTAGGCTTTTTCCACATAAAGCCGGTGGCATGTCTATCACATCATGATATTTCTACTATAATGCACATGCGAATAACTCAGGATCCAAGGGTAGTCTTGCCACTCTAAGATTTGCTAAAAAAAGGAAAGTATGCAGTAATTTTAAAAATTATTTCTATGTGGGTTTCAAATGCTTTTATGCACATGGTCTGAGAAGCAACATCTACTTGCTCTGTGCCTCTTTCTGTTCTGGGGACACAAAAGAGCGCCTCTCAGGCTGCTAGAAAGCACCGCCAGAGCATATGTGGTTTTGTTCTTTACTGGACTTTTCTCAGGCTCATAACCACCCCCCCGACCCCTGTCTCCTGGGCACAGTTCACACGAAGATGTGAGGAAAGAGATGGCAGTAATGCCAGCAAAGGTGTGAGAAAACCAGTGATGATGCTCACGAACCACCAAGCCAGTATGGATAACTGTGAGCTGCCTGCGGGTGACAGATGCGCGGAGCCATGGTCAGCTCCAGCTGTGCGCTCCTGATTTTGTCAGCCCTCGCTTCCTACTCCAGGAGCCCAGCTGTGAAGTGCACACTGCGTTCCACAGTAGCTTCAACCATGCGGCCTGGGTTAGTGAGCCTGCAGCTGGAAGCCCTGGCTGACTGCTCTCTGGGGACCCGGCAGTGCCCCCCATTTCTTCCCATGGTGTCTGCTCAAGTTCACAGAGTGGCAGCTGCGTCCTTAGGTGGATGCACCGGTGAGGCAGCATCAGGTACAGATTTCACTGAATGTGGGTGAGTTAAGAAGCAGACTTAGCCTTCCAGGGAGCTAAGTCCCCTGGGACTCTCTGTTCATGGGCCCTCACCCACACCTACCCGGCCACTCTCCACAATCTCTCTCTGGAGGTCCTTGGAGGCCACAATCAGCACCTGAATAGCTTGCATTAGGCTAGTACAGGAACCAAGGATCCTGCAAGAAACAAAACAAAACAAAAACCTCAGGGACACAAAATAGAGGCTGAGCACAATAGTGAATGAAGATTTCTCTTTTACTACTAAATATACACAAACTGGGAACAGGAAGGAAGGCAGGGATCCTCTCTCTGGGGTACAGCCCTTAAAGAAAGGTGGTGAGTGAGGAGACAGGACTGGGGGGGTCTTTTTCATAAAGAATATTTAAGTGGTGATTCTCAGGGTTTCTTTTTCCCTGTAACACAACAGTGGTGTTATCTTCATCATTAGTACGTTATGGACAACTGCACACTCAGCCCTGTCCCATGGCTGCTCGGCTTCTATCCCACTGGCATAACCCAGAGCAGGGAAGACCAACCCAGTCACCATGGCGCCACCATGCTGCTCAGACTGACCTTTCATTCACCTCCAGTTTGACTCCTGTGTCTCCTGCTCGAGATTTGCTGAGCATCTCCTGTTACAAAGAAGGAGGGTCTCTCACCATGTGATGGGTAATGAGAACCCACTGGCATCCCACTATACTTTTGAGTCTAGCATCCCTAAGCAGCTGAGAAACCCAAATCTAGAAGAGCCCACCTGCATCCGCGTGAGAGTCAGAGAAGGAACCCGACCTCCATCTGACTCAGGATGAGGCTGTAGCAGGCTCTGCAGCGAGGGCCTGGCTCTCCGGGACCCACACTCACTGGTATATGCAGACTTCGAGAGCTATGGCCCTATGTCCACAGGCCGTAGGGCACCCACAGGAAGGCAGCGGCCTGAGTCTTTCACCAAAGGCGCAACAAGTGACTTTCCAATGGTGCCCACACTGGTTTCCCTGAGACTTTATTTACTGAGATCCTGGTCCTGTGACAAATCTGCAATATCTCATTTAATGCTTACAACATCCCTCTGAAGTGGGGACTATTATCATCATCATCATCACATAGCAATGGAATCTGAATCCTAGCTGATGTAACAAAGCTCAGAAGTCATACAAATGGTCAAGCTGAAACCAGAACATGCTGGTCTGACACCAAAGTATGATCCTTGCGGAAGGTGCTCTCTTCCCGCAGCGAGGACCTTCTCATGCTTTAGCCCTCAGAAGTCCCAGTGGGCCTGTGTTCTGGCTTGTTTATGATACCACTTTAGCACGTAAGTGAGAGATGCCCAGTGGGTAACGCTGCTGAAGGGTGACTACAAGAGCATCCTTAGGTCTTGCCGCGGTGCCCATACCTCTATTCTGGCCGTTGCAGTTTCAATGGCCGCTGAGGTAGCAGCCATCTCCTTGTCCACCAGGTCCCCCAGCTCCTCCTGTTTGATGTCTAGGCCCCTGGGCAGGAGCTCCTGTGAACAGCATCATAAAGGCTGAAGTGACTCCTGAACACATTTCTATTCCCAATTCCCTTCCACCTGGCAGAAGGCAGGAAGGCGCCGCCATATAACACACGTCTGCAAGCCACGAAGGGGCATCCATCACAGCCCTTGTCTAGAACTCTCTACACTGTGAAACCAGAATGTGCTAGCCTGACACCAAAGAATCTGATCCTGCGGAAGCTGGATCTTCCAGAAGGCCTCCCCTTTCCAACTCCTGCAACCCTCTCTACACCCACGAAGCCAAGGTGCAGAGGCCCAGTGCCTCGACCTCAGTTGCATTGCTAATAAGTGGCAGAGCAGAAATCTGAACTCAGGGCTGATGGCAAAGCCCATGATGTGGTTTAAAGAATAAGAGTAATGACCCATGTTATCTACCAAGCAACTTAAAGAACACCTTAAGAAACACTATTAACACCTTTGGAGTCCTCTTTGACTCCTGCCCTGATTTCCTCTCCCTCCCTCCCTGGGCCCCACTCCACTACAAACAGAGTGCTTACTGGGTCTTTTTTTTTTTTTTTTAAAAGCTCTACAGAAATACATCCTTCAACAATATATTAAGTGTGCATGTTTTGGTCTTTACTTAAAAGGAATCAGACTGTACTGTACATTTTAGGAATTAGCTAAATGCTGCTTTACACTGTCGACTTTATTACAGCTCTCATCAAACTATAGAAATGGTTGATTTTATTTTTCTTTCTCACAGAGCCCATGTCTTACTTGTCTCTATACATCTCTACCCAGCACAATACCAGCATACAGGACTCATTCACTACATGTTTACTGAATGAATAAGTCTGCCTTTAACTCCAGATAAAAGTCCTTGAAGATGGAAATGACTTATTTTTTTATCTTGCCTAGTATTGTGATGACCACAGTCAATCCTCAGTCAACAGCCAGTGAATTAAATATAACCAGAAAGTCATTGAAGGTCAGATTTTTCAGCCTTAACTCTTACTTTTTACAATCAAGTTGTAAGTGTAGAAAGAGCCGGCTTGAACCTCACCGATTCCCTGGCGAATCACCAGCACTCACACCCGAGAACAGTAACTTCCCCAGTAATCACGTTGTACTACCTCGCCGATGGCTGTGATCTTGCTGAGGCAGCTCCTCATGGCTGTGCTGTCTGCATTCTCCAGGGCGCCTTCTTCCAGGAAAGTCAGGTAGGTGAGGGTTTCCCTGGCATACTGCTTGCAGGCCTCGGTCAGCACTGGAGATACAGGCGACAGACACTTCTAAAGGTCCTCTGCACCCTGCCCCTGCCCAGACTTTCACGAGCAGCCTCCAACCCTGGTACTCACAGTCGCCAGGCTCTGGTGGGGCTCTGAGGCAGGTAGTGCTGCCCTGAACAATGGTGTCGCTGGTCAATTGTGCAAGGAGGGTCACTGAGTGGAGAAGCCCACTGATATCTGCCGGGGGGTCAGAGGGAAGTCTCTCAGTCCTGCTTGAGGGTGGCTCCTCCTCCACCATTTTTGGAGACATACACACTCCTTTCTTGGGGCACAGGAGCCTGTCACTATTTGCACATTGTAGTATCTCCGAGTCCTGCCCAGAGTTACTGTCCTTGGCCTTTCTTACCTTCTGGGTAGAGCAGATACTGACTTCGGTTTTTTTCCAGTTGCTCGATGCAACTGGAAACAGACTTGACCTTGGCAAGAAGGTGATCTGTGAGAGGAAAGACAGGGCAGTCAGAGCTGGAGCTGAAAAGCATGCTTCACCCGCCTTACTTACACCCCCGATGGACGGGCCTGCCCAGTGAGTGGCCCCAGGCCTGCAGGAGCTGCCCTAAGACCAGGAGACCACCCTGGACATGATTCCCTTACTTCCAAAGCTGTGTTTCTGAGTCTGTTTCTTAGCCGAGAACTGGCGCAATCACCTCGCCAGTGTAATCCAGCCCCTCATTTCTCATTACTGCCCATTGCCTGAAACTCAGGTTATCCTGGTCTTTCAAGACCCTTGAAGCCTCATTTCTCCTGGGCCTGGACCTTGGCTCTACCGTAGTCCTTGGTTTCACTTTCCATTGAGTCACTCACAGTCAACCGTAGTCTGCAAATGTTATGCAGAATGAGACATTTGAGAGTGAGGCCACATTCACATAATTTTTATTACAGTATAGTATTAGAATTGTTCTATCGTTTTTTATGTTTCTATTGCTGATCTCTTACTGTGCCTAACTTGTAAGTTAAACCTGGTCATAGGTGTGTATGTATGTATTTATTTATTTATTTTTATTTATTTATTTATTTTTTATAGAGGCATGTTTTGTTTGTTTGTTTGTTTTGTTTATACAAGCACTGGGTACAGTCAGAAGCGCGGGAGGGTGAGAGAATTCACCAGAGCCAGAGCAGGAGAGCAGAGCAGACAGAAGGACCGAAGTACACTGCTGAGGGGAGCAGCGGGCGGCAGGAGAGGTCTGCGCGCCATGTGGGACCCTCCTCAGGTGGCCGGTGGCCGGGGAGCAGCCGGGGATCGAACCGGCGCCACAGAGGCTGTGGGCAGCTTCGCAACCCAGTGCTCAACCGCTGCACCACCGGGGAGGCCCAGGTGTGTATGCAGAAGAAAAAACAGTACATGTAGGTTCAGGGCTATCTCTGCTTTCAGGCATTCACTGGGGGTCTTGGAACGTGTCCTCCATGGCAGGGGAGGTGGATGCTTTCACCCACTGGGTGCCAAGGCCCTCTCTTGTTCAGAGGACTTCTCTGACTCAGCTCCCTCTCTTGTGTACCCTTAGGACCCTGGCTCACGCACAAGGCCCCTGTGCAGACCTGTAACAAGGTGGGGTCTGTATTTGTGTATTTGCAGAATAGCGCCTGGCACCAGCACACAATAAATGCCAGCTATTATTGTTATTTATCTCACTTCTCTTCCTCTCCATTGGTTCATGTCTCTCTTCCTCCTTCAAAACCCAGCTCATGACATCTTAGATCCGCCCACCACTGTACATCCTGGCCTCCCCTCAGTAAATCAGGTGCTCAGTGTGCTTCACTGGCAGCTGTTTCTTTAGAGATGGGTTCCCTGCTGAATAAGATATCAAATAAAGACCTTTCTATTGGATAATAAAAATCGACTGTCAGCTGTTTCCTCCCATCTGCCTGTCCCTCAGTGGGACCTCTGTTACTTTGCCAACATGTCCCCTCTGCTTGAGAAGGAGCCGTGACGACATCTGTCAGCACCATGTCCACGATCTCACAAACTGCAGGGCCTGGATGCGCTCCCACCCACCGCGCCAAGGCCCTCCCTTGTTCTCCGCCCCAGATCCCTTTCCCGCATGCCTGAGGAGCACACCCAAGGCCCATGTGTGGACGTGTGCCAAGGTGTGGTTGTGACTGTATTGCCTCTGCTGTTCTACGCTTTATGATACTCCCCTGTCTAGACAGGACGCTCACAAGCAACCGTCTTGATTCAGATTACGTTTTTCTCCTTATACACGGTCTGCTCCTCTTCCCTCCGGCCTTCAGAGCTGTACCAGGGCTCTGCTCGGTTAGGTAGTGTCCTGCTGACTAAAGCAGTGGCCACCTCACCCGGGACATCAGGAAATCCTCTGCCCGGGAGCTTCTAACTGAATAGCTCTCAGGATGGGGCCCGGGCATACCCTGGTGATTCTGACAGGCAGCCAGGATGAGGACCCTAGGCCAGTGTCACCTGGGGTTCAAAGCCACAGCAAACAGCATCAGGCTGAAAGGCCGCAGCCAGGCGGGCGTGGGAGCGCACCTGCAGATCCAGCACAGCTGATGAGCGTGGGCTCCTCCAGCTGCCGCAGGGCCTCCTGGATCATCTGCTCTGCAGCCTTCCTCGACTCTGCCAGAAGCTTTTTCCGTTGATCCTTCATGAGCTGGTGCACGGATTCCTAGAAATGGCCCAGGAGGTGAGCCTGCCACGGACCTCAGCAGCGGTCGAGCAGCAGCCCTCCAGGCTCGCTGGAATTCCTGGCAGCTTAGCTCAAACTGTGAGGCCTGAGTCAATTTGCTTGACACAGGGACAAAACGACCTTTGTCGACAGGTAAGTGCCATGAGCCATGAGGGCTGTGGGGTGGAACCCTCTCCACTCTTGGAGGGAGAGAGCAACAAGTGCATCCTTTCTCAGATGAGAGAGCACCCTGCTTGGCCTTGTTTCATGAATGACCCAGGCACACTGGCATCAGGAGCCTCAGAATGCCAGTCAGGTCAAAGGCTCGAACCCCCTCCCCAGCCCCCTTGCCTCCATGGATACACGAGTGTGAGCGCGAGCAGCATCGCATGGTGTCTGAGCCTTGCCTGCGTGGAAGACAGTGTGAGCTGGGTCTGTGCCAGCTGTTCCTGAAGAGCAGACAGTTCCTCCTCTCGGCGAGCAGCAGCCTTCAGCAAGCTTTCCTGCTCCTTCTCCAGATCAGCAATCTGGGCCTCCCGCTTTGACTCTGCCTGCAATGGCAGAAATGTGGGGAGGAGGAGAATCAAGCTGTCCCCTTTCTGGAAGTCCATACCCACCACCTGGCCACAAGAACAGCGGGTCGTATCTCTTTAATCTGTCATTTTCACTTCCAGAGCACTTTCTGGTGACATGTGGGACAGCGTGGCCCTACCTAGATGGTGACCAGTGCTGGAAAGCAGCGATCCCATAGCCAGAGGGGCAAGGGGTGAGGACGGTGCTGGGGGGGCTCACCCGGGCAGAAGTTTCCAAGTTGCCCTGGACAAGTTGGAGTTCCTGTTTGCTGGAGGCAAGTTCTTGCTTCAAGTTCTCTAGAATTTCTGTTTGCTCCTGAGTCTGAAAGAGAAGAGAAGCAGGGGCACTCTGAACTGGGTGGTGGCTACAAATTTTTACGAATGTAAAAATCCCTGAACTATATGAGGTTTGTACACTCTTTCCCATGTAAATTATGTCTCAACAAAAAGTTGAGGGGAGAGAAGGTGAAGACGCAGGGTGTACCAAAGAAGGGAAGGGATTTTAAGGCTATTTCCCATATGTCAAGCTTGAGCCCATAGTGCTGGTTATAGCAGAAATAGACTTTCATTCCTATACCCTGACACCAGTGTCCTGCTGAACTACACCATTGTACTGTCTTAAATAGATTCTCCTTTGATTTCTTTTCTAAATGGCATTTTCCAAAGAGCAGTTGCAACCTACTAATAAGAATTTACAGCTAACATTAAAAAAAATGAAATAAACAGAGCAAAAAAAAAAAAAAAAAAAAAGGCAACCGAATGCACTCACATAGTAAGCGCTGCTTTGTGAAACGTTATTTCCATTAGATGGATGTATTTTCCAGCATGGGTCACAGAAAAGTGTAGAAGACATTGCTCTAAGTGTAAGGTGTTCAGTTCTATCCCTCTGACACCTTACTTCCACCCAAGGCTGCCTGCTTGCCAACCCTCTCCCCACGACACCTGCCATCTCCGCTTTGTTCCCTTCTCTTCTACTGTGCCAGGGAAGCCTTTACTGATAAACCCACACAACTTCATTACTTCCTGCCCTAATGCCTCATGTGTTGGTACCATGTCCTGGGGTCTTATGTGGCCTCTTGTAGGATCTCATCGGTCTCTAACCCACAGAACTGCCCACGGAGCAACGTTTCCATCTGTGCAGTCCAGCTCAGACTGACCGTTTACTTCTTTCCCACATACTTCTTCCCCTCACCTTCCGCTGGGCCTGGTCACTTAGGTGCTGAAAGGAATCCTCCAGTTCTTTTCTCTCTCGTTCTAGATCCACCTGAGCTTGTCTGGCCACAGACACCTGTTTGGTCACCTCCGCATTCTGTAAGGGAAGAACAGTGTCTTGAACTGGCTTATCTCAGGTTTAAAGGACATCTTCTTCTAGAACAAACTATCACAGATGCTCTAGAGTGGGACAAAAAAATCACCTTTCAGAGGGATGCCAGAATAAAGTAGTCATCTTCAGGTATTTGACTCTCTAGCATTTACAAAAATAATGAACATGGTGGGTCATGGAAGCTGGCGTCTATGGTGGAGTCCAAAATGTGGGAGGCAAGGGAGCCTGAAAAGCTGTGGTTCTCAGAAATGGTGATATCCCCTAGAAGCTGTTGAGCACGCTGGGCCCGGCTGCAGTTGCCGGCTGCCGCAATGCTGGCACGTGACAAGGCAGGGGCTGAGGGCTTACCTTCCGCAGCAGGTCAGCATGGTTCTGCACCAGCTCGCTGTACTTCTCCTTCAGCTTGCTGTACCGCTGCTCGTTGGCCTGGGCTTTCCCTGTAATGTTGAGGAACACGGTGAGGACTCAACCGCGGGGGGACCTCTGCCCTCCTTCCAATAAGCCAGGGTCCCTAGAAGACCCTATCTTTTCACAAATGCCATGGACCTTCTTTGCCCTCAAAAAATCCTGCTTGAGCAATTCCTGGGATGACAAGTTTAAAAAAAGAATTCATCTGATTCAAATCACTCCACTGACTCACACCTCCTGAGCATTTACACGCAGTTTTTTGACTTTTATGTCATGTTTTTCTTAGGCTATTTATCCTTTGCATATGCACTCCCCGGGGCGGCACTCTGTGTCACCTTCTGTCCCCCACTCCCTCTTCCCAGCAGTGCCCTCCATGGGGCTCTCCACCTGCTGGACTCCAGTCTGCCCCTCATGGTAACAGCAGTTGACACTCCTGAAACCTCTCTGGGGCAGACGCAAGCCCAGCTCTGCCCCAGCCTCCCCCTTCATCCTGAGTCCAGCAGACGGTGCTCCCGCCTCACCCTCGCCCATAGACCCACCCTCACCCACAGGCCCACGCTTACCCACAGCCCCCCACCCTCACCCACAGCCCCACTCTGGCCCACAGTCTCTCACGTTCTATCTCTGTCAGGCTCCGCTGGGCCTTCTCTGTGTCTTCTCGCTGCTTCTTGAGCTCGTCCAGCTCGGCCCGGAGGAACTCGCTGTCGTCAGCCGCCTGCTGCCGCAGGTGCTGCTGCTCGGCCAGCTCGGCCTCCAGCTCGCTGATGCGGCCCTTCAGCTGCAGTGCTGTGCGCTGGCTCTGTGAGAGGGGCCCGGAGGTGTCCAGTCACGGGCCGCCCTGGGGTGGAGTGCTGGGTCCTGCTGTGTTTCCAGCAGTGACCGAATAGACACCTAGGCTTTCCTAAAAAGCCAGCTCCCCAGGCCTCATGAGAACTGAGTCTATTGGTCATTACCAGCCACTCGCCCAAATACAGGGGCTGAGGGCCAGGTCCTGTTAGGGTGGGCTGGCAGGAGCCACAGAGGAGCCAGCAGCGGGAGGGATAGGGCGCTTCGCCTGTACCTGTGAGTGAGCCTAAGCCCAGCCAAGGGCCGAGCAGCGGGCATGATTACAGTGCCAGGCTCTGCAAACAGCCATCAGGGCTGCCATCAAGCCCTTCTCATCACCCCGTGAGAAAAGTAGATCTTTTTTCTATAGGTCACAGCCAGGCGGTGATCAGCATCACCTTAACACAGAGACCCAGGGGTTGGGTTCAGTGGACGCTCTTAGGGTGAGAAGCATGGAATGTGTTACAACCAAGACCACAGGAAAACCAGCTCCTTTTGGCTCTGGCATTTCTACTAATTAACATCCCCTGCCCTGGCCCCCACACCCCCCTTAAGATGTGGTCCAATCAGAATCTATGTGAAAGGAACTTAGTATACAAGTGTGCAGTGAGAGGCAGAGTCCCGAGGCAGAGCAGGGCCCTCGTACCTCTGTCTTCAAGTTCTCCAGCTGCACCTTCAGCCCGTTGACCTCCCGGTACAGCCGATCAATTAAGTGATCCCTGGGGACAGAAGAGCAAGCTTTTTTCCCCTGGGCTCCTACCCCTTTCCTTCTAAGTATGTGAGGAGAGAGACTGTGTAAGAGCTGGTGTTAATTTGGGGTGATTCTTTGAAATTCCATAAATTACATATCGGGATCACCATGTATGAATCTCACCCCCCATGGGTCCACAGTTATTTCAGCCTCAGAAGACTTTCCTCAGGGATTAAAGGGAATATATTTTAGGGTCGAGGGATTGCACTGTTAGGGTTGCCGGTCAGACTGTTTGGCTTCTGTACCCTCTGCCTGAACCCAGCTTGGACTTACTTTTCATCCTTGTTCACACCGTTCTGACTGTTGAAATTAAAGGGATCACTGCTGAACGAGCTGCCAAAGATGTCATCGAACTTGTTGTCAAATAAATTCTGTGGTGACCAAAAATGGAGAACAAAATTAGAGATCCAGAGACTTCTGTGTGTGGGTCAAATGCGTGACAAATAAGAATGGAGCCTTCTCTGATTTTGTTCACATCTATTTCTGGTCCCTCCTAGGGGCCAAAGGCAGGATGCTCAGTATAGGTTGAGAGCTTGGGTTAGAAGAACCTGGTAGATCCAAAAAGTCTTGCCCAGGCTTCTCTGCTCCCCTACCTACACTCATTTAGAGGTAGGGGAAGAGGCACGTTTCTCTCCTTAGCTGTCCTCACCTGCTGGGAGGCATCCATGTCCATGAGGTCATCTTTCTCCAAGACCGGCTCGCTGTCAGGGGATGAGGCCTCGGCCGGAATTACCACCACAGGGCTGATGTGTTCTGACAGGGCAGAGGCCCGTAGGAAGTTGGGTGGGTTCTGAAGAGGAAGACACATCCTCAACCCATGGTCACCCACCGGGCCCTGCTGGCCTCTTTAGAGAGGACCCTGGGGCTCAGAAGCTCCCAGAGTGTGACTGGGCACCTTACCTCAGGCAGCTGAGGGATCTGAATGAGCCGCTTGAAGTACTGTAGGTTGCTTGAGCGGTAGAACAGATCTTTCAGCCTGGAGGTGGACACAGGCGTGAGGGGTGCTGGGTGCCTCACCAGCCCCGGGAAGGGGACATGAGACTACCCAGCCTTTCTACCGCTGCCCATCCCAAAGGCACGGGCCGGCTGTCCAGGAGATGGCCTCTATGGCACCAGGACTCAATTGTGATGCCACAGGGAAAGATTATTATTAGCCAGTCCTCACTTAGCTGGTGGTGAGAGGACAGTTCAAACCACAATCTTCTGGAAGAGCAGATCATCCAAGAACTAATTTCTGCAGCACTGTGGAATGTATGATGTAGTCTGGTAGGTAGGGGATGTCTGGCTTAGGTGATATCCAAATCAATTTACTTTTGCTGAGGCTAAACCAACTGACCAGAGGAAAAGGGAAGGGAACTTAAGGACTCAGATCTCATTCTCTCTCTTTTAAATTAATTCACCTAGTTTGAGAACCATTTGTTATCTCCCCAAGTGGATCACCACAGGGCAGAAACTAGGGCTTGCTGGGCTAAGTTTACTCCAGTGCCAGGCACAGAGGAAGTTCACACCTATCTGTCTGCCTCTTGGATAAAGATGAATAGGAATAAAGCAAAATTTTTCTTTTCTCCATTTGTCAATCTAAATTCTGAAGGCTAAGAAAGCAGAGAGCAGCCAATTTCAATATTCTGAGATGAAAGAGGATCATGGGTGTCTCACCCTTTCCCTGCAATACAGAATTTTCTCCAGTTCAGTCCAAAGAGCTACATCCTCATAACCTCCTGACAGCCTTTCAGACCCTGGGTCAGGTCTACCCTGGGATGTCATTGCTGTTTTTCCCAAATTCAAAGACCATGGGGCCTCAGAGAGCTGCTGGGGCTGTGAGGAAGAGAAAGAGAGGTGACTGCTCATGGGAGATGTGCTCTTGAGCTAGGAAAAAGGGAAAAGAAGGGAAGTCACCTGACCACCGTCCCCTTCTCCTGAGCTGGAGCCAACAGTAACAGGCCCTACTGCTCTCACATAGCTCCCTGAATTTAACGTTCCAGGAAATCAGCCCCAGGGTTTTAATAAGTCATTTATTACAGAATATGCACAGAGATTTTCAAACAGAAGAAGGAAACAAGGAGGTTAGTACAGCCCTGAGCTTGCCCTCTGATGGTGGCAGAGGAAGCAGCAAGAGAAGCGGGAGCTTGGGCCTGGGGAGCTGCGCTTTCCTGTTGTCAAGGATGACGAAATGGACAGGAAGAACACGGAGGTCTAAGTAGACAGTGCTGAGCCATGAAGCCCTGCTCAACACCTCGCTACTACTCTCTTCCATCCCCTCCTGTCCCCATGGGCACTGAAGTGGAGGATGAGCCGACCCATCTAGTCACCAGTGTTCTTTCCCAAACACACCAGAATTATTGACCCATTATCCAGACAAACTACTTCTCCTGGACCAGAGCTGGCTAAGTAGCTCATTAATCCATTCAGATCATTTCTGGAGCACTTCAGCAGACAAGAGAGTCAAACGAACGCAGGAAATAAGCAGGGTGTCGAGATAGAGGTACAGGGTGGGGTGAGCATGGAGGAACGGGAGATGGGGTGAAGGCCCGACTGAAATGAGGTACCGACACAGCCTGTGTGAGGACCGGTGACCAAAGACGACCTGGAGCTGGCCAGGCTGGGAGCCGGGGGAGGGAAGGCCCTGAAGGAGGGCCTTTTTGAATAGGTGATATATTCACCACCCACACCAGATTCATCTGGGATGTGCCTTCAACAATGCAGACCTTAGCTCACAGGACCTACAGCAAGCGGGGAGGCCCTGAAGGTGGGGTGCACCGGTGGGCTCCAGGAACTGGAAGAGGAGTCTGAAACACGGTGAACTGGAGACGAGGTCAGAGAGGACAGGTGGGGCCAGACCATGCAGGGCCTTGTGGGTCATGGACAAGAGCTTGCATTTCATTCTCAGTTTAAGTAAGAGCCATCAAGAACTTTCAAACAAGGGATTGGCATTTTCACAAGGCTGTTTAACTGCTGGGTGTTTCCCAGCTGTTAGATTCCAGGGGCCAGGGGTGGACGTCCTGGAGTCCCATCAGTATTGGAGGGTCCTAGCAAGTAGCAGTGGTAGAGAAGAGATGGAGATACGGACGGAACCAAGACAGAGTTGTACTGGACATGGGAAGAGGAAAATGGTGGACTCCAGATCTCTGGCCTAAGCTGATGGTAGCAGTATTTACTGAGATAGAAAAGATGAGAGAGAAAAAAGAATTCTGGAGGAAAAGCTATTGTTCAGTTTGAGTTTCAGTCTTGGTGTCTTATTGTCAAACAGCAACTGGGTACGGGAGATGGGAATTCAGTAAGGTTTGAGTAGAGACACGTATGTGGGAGCTGACAGCATGTATGTGATATGAGACCATGAAAAACTAGGGGGAGAAAGAAGAGGATGAAGTGCTGAGTATATAAAGCAGGTGATGAATGAATGATATCTTCCAGATGCTTCTGTGGGGTTATTTGAGAACCCATAGCTTCCCTAGTCATTGATAAATAAACTGCTTTATTGCCTTAGAATGCAGATATCCCTACCCTTCAATTATTGTAAAGCAAATACTCTCTCACGGAGGAACTGACCTTACAGCACTTTTTGATTTGCCCTCACTCCTGTCACTTAAGCCCCTTACTTTGTGAATTGCTCCATGAAGCGGTCCCGGTGTCCTTGCAGGGTGTCAGCTGGGAGACCTGGAAGGAACGGGGGAGAATGAGAGAGGAAAAGGACCAGAGCAGGCAAATCCAGCAGGCTCCAGAGAGAGGGACCACCCCTCCTAGAGCTGGGGGCCAGTCCTGTTAGGGGACATTCCTGGTCTAGAGCATCCCCAGGACTGGTAACCATGGGGGCCTAGTGGGACCAGCAGGGAGTCTGGGGGTGCTTGTCCTCCAAAGCCTTCCTTCTGTTTGTTCCTGGAGTGTGACCACAGCGGCCTGACCACGGGAGCAGCAGTGGTGACCTGACCAAGCAGCAGGGTAAGTGACACAGGCCCTGCAGGGCAGTTCCTTCCAGGGGCTTGTGCGCTAAGTGTCCTGACTGGGCCCTGGGTGGATGTTGGTCTGGTAGAGATCCACCGAGTGTACTTGGGCGACTGCCTGTCAGAAGGCAAAGGCCACAGGACTGAGACTTGGGGGTGTGGTTCAGTGCCCGCTTAGTCACTGCTAACTTGATGCTGCTGGATGGGTAGCAAATGCTTCGGGTGGGCCTCCTTGCCACAGGCTGGGCTCTCTAAGGCCCTTTCCCCTCCCTGACTGTGATTCTGTGAACTGTATTTACAGATCACAACTCAGTAGTTCTATTCTTACTTTTTAATTTTAGCAATTTTTGAATAGGTGATTCACACCAGATTCAACAATGCAGACCTTAGCCCATCGGACCTACAGTAGCACTGTTTTAAACAAGAAGCACACGAAAGGGCAAGAACTTCTGTAAGACCAGTAATTTCTAAGATATATTCTATGGGGGCCTCCCTGGTGTCTCAAGGGGTTAAGTCTCAGCACAATGAAGCTGCCCGCAGCCACTGCAGCACGAGTTCAATCCCCAGCCAAGGAGCTGACCCACATAGCGCAGCAGACCTCTCCTGTCTCACCCACTGCTCCCTTCAGCAGTGTTTTTCAGAATATCCACCTGTTCTGCTCCCCACTTTGTCTCTGGTGAGTGACACTGTAGGGCCTGTGTCACTCACCCTGCTGCTTGGTCAGGTCACCACTGCTGCTACCGTGGTCAGGCTATTGTGGTCTGACCCCACCCCCTTATCTCTGGCTTACACTCCGCTCTTGTATGCATAAATAAATAAAATAAATCTTAAAAATATAAAATACATTCCATGGAAGTACCCCAGAAATCTGTGGCCAGATGGGGGTAGCCCTCTATTTATTTGAGCAGCTCTATCTTCTGTTTTCCCACATAGTACCATTTGTACAAAGAGATTGAGATGATGAACATTTTGGAGCCACTGACTTTGCTCCTGTGAAACCAGTCCAGTTATCTTTTGTGTGATTCTTAGAACACAGGATGGGTATGGAGCTGTGGAGGGTGAGAGCCATCCTGGGAAGCCACTGTGGCAAGCCAGGTGCTTCCTTGGCCTGCTCCTCTAGTCTCAAGAGAGCAGAATAGGGCAGAAAGCCCAGGGCCTTGAAAGGACCTGCCAGGGGCTCCCAGAGCTGGTCCGCCCAGTGTACTCACAGGAATGGAGCTTGAAGAGAAGCTTGACAGTGTAATCATAGAGGTGGCTACAGTCCAGGATGACCTGGATCAGCGGGGCGAGGCGGCACTGCCCAGCTGTGGTCACTGACACGGAGCGGGACATGTCCAGGGAGTTGAAGACTGGGGAGTAAACAAGGAGAGAGGAAGGAAAGCGAGGAGTTACGGTGACCTCCCCAGCGGGGCAGAAGGCAGAAGGTCCAGCCTGTTCCCTACATGCGCTCTCTCTTGTAATGCATTTCACTTGCACGGGATAGGAAAAGGTTCCCCATCACACGGGCGAGAAAATGAAGGTAAATGACTTGAGGGGGATCACAGAGCCAGGAAGTGGTCCTAGAGGTGGTGTGTTAAGACAGAGCCCAAGTGGCCAGCAGAGTAGACCAGGAGCCTGGTTCCAAGCGATGTGGATGGGAGACCTTGGCTCTACTCTGCACAGTCAGGAGGAAGCTGGGAAAGAGCTTTTCTGATGACCAGGGTTGTACCTAGAATGGAGAATTCCTTCCTGCCTGTCTTGAGGATCTGGGGCCCCCACCTGCAGTCTGATCAGAGAAGCAGAGCACATCATCTTGCAGAGGTTCTGATATAATGGCAAATAGGCTGCTGTTCAAGGGAAGCCCTGTCTCACTGGGAATCAGAATCTCAGGACAGGAAGGGGCTGTCGAGACAGCCCATGGGGTCCCCCTTACAAGAAGCCCCCAGTCTGCTGGTGGCTTCCAGCTAACATGTTGCGACCGGAACACAGAGAAGGAACGGTCAGCCTGGGCTTCCTGGTGGTTTGCCAGAGGGTTCGTGGGGCACCAGAGGGGATGTGCAGGGGTCCTGGGTGGACAATTGAGAGGGCTACCAGGGCTGAGGCCGGGACCTGAGAGGAAGAACCATTAGGACGAAAAGCCGATGGAGATCCTCAGGGGATCCAGGGAGTGGAAGGACAGATCTCCATGCTGCTGAGCTCCCGAGAGCAAGTCGCTCTCCCCGGGTCTTGCCCCACAAATGCTCCACATTAACTTCCCCTTGTCCCTTACTCCTAACCCAAGCAACGAGATGCCTGGCCATAACCCTCAGTGCCCAGCACTGGCCAGGGCCAATTTCCTCCTTGCAAGTGGCTGGTTCTCGTTTCCAGACTCAGTGCCCGCGGCCTGTGAGGAAACCTTCGCTGCAGTCCTTCGGGGAGCGGGGCTGCCCGAGGCAAGCCCAGAGCTGCGGTGTTCCGCCTTCCCCGACTGCACTAATCCCTGTTAACTGGGTTAGTCTGGCAACTGAAAAAAAAAATCCCAAACTGTTCTAATTAAAAGGCAGCTTTTCTTCTTGACACAAATTAAAAGCAGCTGTCACTGCAAGGCGGCCATCCCCATGTCTACTGGCTTCCTCAGGCTGCACTCTGGCAAGGAATCACACGCTGCTCTGCACCCGCCTGCCCGGTGCTTTCCAGGAATGCCCCTTGGCATCTGACAGTGTGGAGAGCAGTGTGACCGTGGACAAGTTACTCGACCTCTCTGTGCTTCCAGAGCTTGCCTGTCAAATGCAGATGGTTACAATAGCATGTACCACCTAAGGGTCTCACAAGAATGAAATGAGCATGTCAAGGGCATTGTGTTGTGCAGAGCTTCTCAACTTTGACATTGATGAGAATCACCTGGGGACTTTTAAAAACTATGAATGTCTGCCTGCAACTCCCCCATCTACTATTCTGTTTTAGTTGGCCTGGAGTAGGTTTGGGACAACTGTAGGTTTCAAAAGCAACCTCCCCGCCACCCCGCCATGATTCTAAGATGGAGCCGGGGCTGAAAACCATAGTCCCTAGTTCACTATTTTCAAACTTGAGCATGCGTCAGGATCGCCCTGAGTAGTGTTGTCCAACAGAATTCTGTGATAATGGAAATGTTCTCGATATGCTAGCCATGTGTGTCCACTCAGTGCAAACAAGGACTGACTGCTAGATGTTATTTAATTTGTAATTTAAATAGCCATGTGTGATTAGTAGCTACCATATTGGTCAATGCATACAAGGACTTGTTAAAACAGAGGCTGTTGGGATATTCTCTTCCCCACCCTGAGATTCTGATTCAGTAGATCTGGGGCTGAACCTGAGAAGCTGCATTTCTAACAAGTTCTCAGGGGATGCTGACGCTGCTGGTCCAGGGAGTACATCTTAAGAACCAGTGCACATGTCCTCCCAAATGTTAATTATAAAGGCTTGCTGTTTCCTATAGCTGAAGACCTGTGGTGCCCTCCCAAGGGAATTGGTGGGGATCTCGCAGGGCCACAGACTACAGCTTGGTCGCTGCAGAGCATTCTCCCACCACCAGTGCTCTTCGTTGCTGCAGCTCACAGTGGGTGCCTGGGGACGTGGAGGGGTGCAGGAGACATGTGGTAGAGGGCTCTTGAGTCCAAGTCAGTGCTAGCTCATGGCGGGGTTTGTGCCATGACTCGAGTCATTTGCTCTAGAAAATTGTAAAGTGGCTAATTCACCCCAGACATCCTGCAGCATTCAGCTGCATGTTGAGACCACTCTGAGAGAGCTCTGTTCACTTGTTATTTGTTGCTGTTTATCTAGAGCAACCATTCTTGATTTCTGTTGAGCACCTGCCATAGAAGAGGCATGGGGCTAGAGTGCAGATGAGTAGAGCATGGTTCTTGACTTGGAAGAGGAGCTCAGCAGCGAGGATAATGATATCAGTGGTCAGTGCACTTGAAAACAGAGCCAGGTACCATGGATGCAGGAGCAGAAGGGTTGGCTGAGCTGGCCACTGGGGACTTGCCGGCATTGCATCCTTGTCCTCCCAGCTACTCAAACCTTATTGATGTTATCACCATCCCTGCTCACTCTTACTCCAGCAGTCTGCAGGGGCTAAGAGGACCATGGCAAAGGTTGCCTCTACAGCACAGGCAGGCAGGCAGGATCTGGGAAGGTGGCTAGGTCTGAGAACTTGGGTCAACTTGACTCTCCCCAGGATGATGACCCAAGACCATCACTCAAAACTGCCTTCGAGCAAAGCACATTCCAAAGCCCATGTCAAGGAATTCTTATATATTCCCATGTGCATGTCCCACCTGAAGCTAAATGCATTCTTTTGTCTTTATGCAAGCATTTCCAAATGCTTTTTTAAAAAGGGCCTAACCACTTTTCTCCTGCCTGGCTGGGGATGCCTGAGGGCAAGGACTACATTTTTATCTCTCTATTGACTTTTGTAAGGTGGTGTGCTTAGCAAGCAGAGTATCTTATTTCCACCACAAATCATGGTTTCTAAATTTTCTGGAGCTTCTCTGAGCACATCCTGCGTGGGATGGATTAGCCACAGTATTCAGGATTTTGTACGCTGTGGTGTGAAGGACTTGGCCAACTAGTTCAGCGCTGGGACCTAACAGGCCAGTTGTAACTACAGGTGAACAGGCGCACAGGTGAGCTAGCCCAAGAAATTGGAATTTAGGGGCGAGTATTCCGTGAGAGAAGCCGAACCCCAAGAGTGGGCCCTCCGTGTCCCAGTGCTGAGAAGGGGCCACGCTGGGCAGACACTGAAGTGTGGGACTCCCTTACACAGAATTGGATGCTTGTCATGGAACATCTTGAATCTCAGAAAACTGACTTGGTCCCCGAAGGAAGAAGGGGGAGCCTGGCTGGAAGGTGTGGGGATAGAGGGCATTGGAGAGAAGGAAACAGTTTCCTGAGTCTTGGCAGGGATGGGTTACGGGCTGACAGCCTACAGACACTAGGGAACCCCGAGGGGTGACCAACCCCCAGCTAGTGGGACGGGACTTTCGGGGCTTCTCACATGGCTGTGGGCAACTATCCAACTCGGCTACTCCTCTGTTATCTGCCAACCAAACAGCAGACAGGGGCTCTTCCTCCTGAGCAGAAAGCCCTCCAAGTGTGAGCCCTGCTCTGAGTAGTAGGCAGGGTTGGGGCAAAAGACCAGCTATTGCTGGGGTCACAGTTCCAGGGCTGTCAAAGAGGCAGGATCAGTCTTGGGCTCTTGGTGCTCTGGGCTTGGGGAAGGTTGGCAGGATGGGGAGCATTGTCTTTCTGCTCAGGTATGAAATCACCAACTCTGAAAATACCCCAGAGCTTCAGGTCCTCTCTGCTGGAGGGGCGCAGAGAGCAGGACTAGGGTGTGAACAGCCCCTTTCCCCTGGCCCCATACTGCACGACTTGTAGGGAGAGTGTGGCCAGGCTGCTCCGTCCAAGCAGGGAGCGAGGCTGGGAATGAGGCCATTCCCATGAGTGCCTGGGCCAGATGGGAGGGCGAGACTCACCAGTTTGGAAGAGGTTAAGTTCACATTCCAAGTAGTCAAACATCTCCACTGTTAACTGGAAGCTGGACCGAAGAGGAAAGAGAGCTTACACCCCACAGTCTGAGGTCAGCACATCACTCATCTCTTCTCCCACGCTCTCTACTGCTGTTTCTGTCCCCAGTGTGCACGTGCATGTATGCACCTAGCATCACACCCTCACACAAGCGCATGCGCACACACACACAGACATGCATGCACACATGCCAGCTCTAATTCTTAGCCCCTCCTAAGTGGGTATTAAGCCATTTGAAGATCAAGCAGGGCAAATTCAACAGCTGCAGTAGCAGAGGGAGAAGACAGGCGCCATGCTGGGCAGCCAGAGCAGGTGACAGAGAAGAGAGCCCTGCCATAAGAGAGCCTTGAGGGAGGCACCAGCAGTAGGGGTCCAGAGGCCAAATCACCCCAAGGCTGTAGTCCCCACCCCAGCCCCATCCCTTGCCATCAGGCCCTCTGACCCTAAAGGGAAGAGACAGCTTCCCCACTGGTTCAGAGCACGAGGACAGCCACTTACAAGTTGTTAACATCACTTTCTCCAGCTTCGTCCAGCTGCCGGTCACTCATCTGAAGGTTGCCTGGGAACCTGGGATTCTGGAAGGGAGGCAGAGGAAGGGCTCAGAGGAGAGTAGCTCAAGAACTCTCCAATCAGCCCAATTAAGTTGTTATCAATCAAGCTATTTGCACTATGCTCAGGCAACAGCAGGAATCTGGGGAGATGGTATCAGCATGTACCCTGCCCCCCAGTCCTGATGGGCACCTCAATTTGCTCACAGCAACAAGCATCCACTACCATCATCAGAAGTGAAGCCTCCATTTCATCGCTGGGAGCCAGGAGAGGGTCCTCTCTGACCATCTGTGGCCTGGACATTCTAATGTTGCTCTCCAGAGGGGTGATGACCCCCTCTATGTGAGAGGAACAGGTCCTTAGCCACCTACAAGACTCATACCCTCTGAATCCTATCCAGGCCTTCTGCTGTCCTTTCCTGAAGCTGCTGTTTTGAGAAAGGGCAAACCCATTCTACCAGTTTAAGCAAAACAATTAGTAAAACAAGCTCGGAGGTAGGGAATATTGCATCATGTGCCCCCAAATGAGAGAAATTCTGTGTACCAGCTATCATTGTGCAGTATCTGTACCATTATCTCTGCCATAGCATGGTTTGTCCCGAGTGGGTGGGACACCGTGGCAAGGGGTGGGCAGGGATGGGTGACCCATCAAGGGCGTTTCTAAATTCTTTTTTTTTTTTTTAATTTTTTTTTTATTAAGGCATTATTTATTTATTTGTTTGTTTGTTTGTTTGTTTTTTTATACAAGCACTGGGTACAGTCAGAAGCGCGGGAGAGTGAGAGAATTCACCAGAGCCAGAGCGGGGAGCAGAGCAGGCAGAAGGACCGAAGTACACTGCTGAGGGGAGCAGCGGGCGGCAGGAGAGGTCTGCGCGCCATGTGGGACCCTCCTCTGGTGGCCGGGGAGCAGCCGGGGATCGAACCGGCGCCGCAGAGGCCGCGGGCAGCTTCGCAACCCAGCGCTCAACCGCTGCGCCACCGGGGAGGCCCCGTTTCTAAATTCCGGTGTGAGCATTTCTGGCCCTGAAGACAGAACTCCCGTGCCGCCGCCCTCTGCCCTCCTGGCCCTCCCTCCCTCCTGGCCCATCACTCCTGCTGTTCCATCTCGGCCATGCCCAGCTCCTTATCAACCTCTTCTCTTCTGGTCTGTTGGCCGCCTCTTGCCATATTTACTTCCTCTCTCAGTCTGGACACTCTGATGGTGACTGGTGCCCTTCCCCCATGCCTTTCTCAGTGCCTCTGCTCCCACCATGCTGCTGTTAAAGCCTGGTGAGCCTAGCTCTTGGTCACGTGCTCTGTGCTGGGACCGGCTGCCAAGTGTCCCTGGAGACAGGCTCACGGCTGGTGTCAAGACTAGATCATTCCCTCTGGCATCAGCGTTCTCAGCCCCATGTCCCTCATGGCTTCCCCTTTCCACTCAGTCCCAGTGTCACCCTCAGCACATGCCTGCCTTCTCACATCACTGGAACTACCTACCTCAGCAGCCTGCTTCCCAATCCCTTCCTCCTACAAAATGCACCCAGCTGTCCTTCCGGTCCTCTGGTTTCAAAAAAGGAAGGGCTGGACTCATTCCTGACTCTTGGTCAAGCAGTCTTCTGTGCTATTCAATCTGCTCTAGGTTCTGGTTCATTCTATCACTCATTCAACGAATCCCGCTGGGGCAAAGAGGTGTTGTGGGGCTGGGGTGGGGGGAAAGCTGGTGCTGGCGGCAGAGACTCACTTTGGTGTGGTATTCCATCTTCGTTCTCAGCAGTTTGAGGTAGATACTGCAAAGCTGTCCGTACCCCTCACTCAGGTGACCCTTTTGGAAAGAGGAAAGAAAGTATGGTGTCAGCATTAAGTGTCTGGGGTGAGAGGCCTATAGTCAGGACTTCTGTTTTGAAGAATTTTTATCCTGACTATGGAAATAACACACATCTACTGTTGAAAATTTGCAAAATATAAAAAATACACATATACAAATAAATCACCCTTAATTTAAGCACCAGATATAATCATGGCCAATATTTTCAGGTACAAAATGATATTTGATTTTTTTCAATTTAAATAGACTTTATTTTTTAGAGCAGTTTTAGGTTCACAACACAACAAAATTCAACAGAAAGCAGTGATTTCCTATATACCTGTGCCCTACCACAGATCCCCCCAATATCAACATCCTGCACTAGAGTGACACCTTTGTTACAATCAATGAGCCTATTGATGTATCGTTACCCAAAGTAAAGTTTCCATCAGAGTTCACTCTCGATGTATATTCTGTGAGTCTGATAAATATATATGACATGTAACAGCATTACAGTATCATACAGAGTAGTTTCATTGCCTTAAAAATTCTCTGTGCTCCACCTTTATTCTAAAACAGAATCTTTTTTTTTTTCATTTAATACACTGCAATTTTTCCCATCTACTTAATATTTCTTCTGTGTTGTTATTTGTAGTGACTGCCCAGTACTTCGTATTATGTACAGTAATTTATCAAACCAATTCCCTACTGCCATACATTTTAGCTGTAGGCACATTGTTTTTATTATAATTTATGTTTAAATGAATGTTCTCCAGTACAATCTTAGGTACAAACAAGAGAACTTCTTTCAGATAAATTCAAGAGAAAGCTTATCGTTTAAGGATTTTAAGTGCCCCACTCCTAGTAATCACAGTCTCTATAGGCTAATTCCTTCCTTCTGTCTCTAAGCAAAGGAGAGGAAATACCTCCTCCAGAGAGACTCCAACAGATTAAGAGCTCTACGTGTGTTATATACATGGGCTGGGGATTTGAAATGGGATCAATCCTAGCTGGCAAAAAATAAACCTTCCCATGGAATTTGCCCACACAGTCATGTCCTGAGCGCCTAGACAGAGCTAGGATTAGAGTAATGCTGGCAATTTCCAGTTAGATGCAAAAAAGGTTGGAAATGGGGCACAAAGAACACTTAACTGAAAGGCTGTGCTTCCCACATGAGTTTGACATCTATGTTTTCTTTTAATTGTATCTATATTCTCTACAGCATTGAAATATACCTCAAAGGGCACCAAAGGGAGGTGAGTAATCAAGTATGTTATAGAATATATCAATGCCAGAGGTGACAGGATTTAATAATGTATTCATTTTCTATGAAAATGCATTTTAGTAAATTTTACATTATACTTAATTCATAGAAAAATTAGAAAGCAAAAAATAGAAAAAGAGAAAATAAGCTCATCCTCAAAGACAACTACATTTCACAAAAAAATGCACAAGGATCAAGAAGTAAAAGATGAATGGATCAGACTTAAAGTGCCAAATGCCAAACTCCTGATAATAACTCAGGAGAAAACCGAGATGACCTTGGATGTGGTGATGACATCTTAGATACACTCTAAAGACACAACCCATGAAAGAAATAACTGATAAGTTGAACTTCGTTAAAAAGAAAAACTGTTCTCAAAGACAGTATCAAGAGATTGAGAAGAGAGGCCATAGCCTGGGAGGAAAAATTTGCAACAGACATATCTGATAAAGGATTCATCCCAAATATACAAAAAACTTTTTTTTTAAAGATTTATTTATTTATTCATACAAAGAGCTGAGGTGTAGGCCAGAGGAGTGGGGAGGTGAGAGGACTCACCAGAGACAGGGTGGGGAGCAGAACAGGTGGATCTACTGAAATACACTGCTGAGGGGAGCAGTGGGCGAGACAGGTGAGATCTGCTGCTCCATGTGGGTAGCTCCCTGGCCGGGGATTGAACTCCTGCCACAGTTGCCGGCAATAGCTTTATAGAACTGAGACTTAACCCCTTGAGCTACCAGGGACGCCCACAAGGAACTCTTACTAGTCAACAATAAGAAAAAAATTTAAAAAATGGGTCAGAGTCCTTAATGGACACTTCATCAAAGAAAACGTAGATAGCAATAAGCCTGAGGAATGAGGCTCCACATCACATGTCACCAGGGAAACACAAATTAAAACAATGAGATACACCACACATCTATCAGGATGGCTGAAATCCAGAACACTAACAATACCAAATGCCGGTGAGGAGGTGGATCACCAGGAACTCTCATTCATTGTTGGTGGGAGTGCAAAATGGTGCAAACAAGTAAAAATGATTGTTTGCCACCAGCAGAACTCTCCCCAAGGGAAATTCTGAAGGAAATAATTCTGAAGGCAATTTCTTCTGCCTAGAAGAAAGTGACCCTAGATGGAAGAACTGAGATACAAGGAGAAATGGAGAGATCAAGAGGACAGGAAAAAATAATTAAAATAAAATAGAGAGTCTGAAAAGAAAACCAACCAAAATTAAAACATGTGGCAACAATAGCATACAAGAGGGAGTAAATAGAGTCACAATATTCTAAGATCTTTGTGTTACACAGGAAACGGATAAAGATATAAATTTTAGACCTTGATAAACTACACATGCATTTTAACATTAGCTAGCATCCATAATACAAAACATAAAAGCAGGTTTTTATAAAAAAAAAATCTCCCAACCTGTAATGGAATGAAAAAACAATCAACCCCAAAGAAGGCAAGGAACTAGAGGAAAAAAACGCTGAATGGAGGGGGCAAATAGAAAGCACAAAATAAGATGGGAGATATAAATCTAAGCATAACATGTATTATGACAAATGTGAATGGCGTTAAATGCGCAGTTAAAAGACAACAACAAAATTCAACTAATTGCTATTTACAAGTGATAGTTCTAAGATAGAAGGATATAGAAAAGTTGAAAGTAAAAGGATGGAAAAAAGATATAGAGGGAAATTCTAACAAAAAAGGGCACAAGATCTAAGCTTTCTAAGTTATAGGGATGTGACAGAAAGCTCTCTGGGGAGTAGCTGAGGGATCTGGGGACAGCTTTCAGCCCTGTTCAGGTTACCAGCTTTGGGACGGAGGAAGAGCTGCTTCCTTCCATGGGCCCCTCCTACCTCATCGGTGGTGAGGACATAACTGTGACATTTTGGGAGCTCAGACAGACACAGGTATGAACTGGGAGGAAAGGGCTAGAGTAGCTGTTCTCCACCAGTGGGGGCCAAGGCGCATGTCAGAATCAATCAATCAAGGAGATTCACCAAAATGCGGATCACCCCTCACTACACACATATTCTTGGACTCTAGGGAATGCTAGCATGGGTGTAAAGACACTCTTTTCCACTGATTCTGATGTCACCACCTAAAGTGCTAGGAAAGAGAAGGCACTGGCATAAGAATAGGGGTTGCTAGTTCTCAATTACTGTGACCCCAATGGTAGCAGTGGAAGGGAAAAAGGTGGAAACTGTGGTAAGGTCACTACTGAGGAGGTCCCAAACCTGGGGAGCATTGTGACATGGGGTTCCATTGGCAGATGACATTCCCAGGCACAGAGAATTTCTCTGCAGTTTCCAGGGACTCCAGGTAAGAATGGGGACAATGTGGTACTACTTGGAGGCTCCCTGACTTCTCCCAGATGCCCAGGAGAGGAACCCTGTACAAGTCGAGAGACGTGACTTTGTTCTATTCCGCAGTCCTTGCTCTGTGGCCCCTGTGTTGGGGTGCAGAGGGGCAGGGGGCTGCAGGCGCAACTCCAAACTCACCCACATCCTGCTCATGTCACTCAGCTCGGTTTTGTATCTCAGAGAGTCCTTCAGCACCTGGAGAGGGAAGAGGGCAGAATATGAGAGGAAAAGAGGGTGCAGATTATAAAAGTTGGGTCTGGGAGGGAGAAGAGGCTGATGGGTACAGACCAACCCTGCCCTAGTCCTTGACCAAGAGGCCAGGAGAAGGGGGCAGCTGAGTCCTTAGTGTGGGCATGGATGGTTGCCACATGCCCCACCATGGGCCCCCACTTCCTGCCTGTCCCCTGCAGCCCGGGACTCACATTCGGGTGGCCATCTCGGAGGAGTTTGTGGAACACGTGGCAGAACTTCCAGCAGAGCACGGCGTTGCTGGAGAGAGGCAGGCGGTTGACAACAGACCAAAAGGTCTGCGCCCCTTTCTCATGGTGGGTGCCCAGTATGCACGGTGAGGGAAGGTCATGGAAAACAAGGGCACAGGCACAGCTCCCGCAGACAGCCCCTGGGCTGGAGCCCATACCAGGACTGCGAAGATGTTCAAGAGGACACTGCTCGGAGTGGAGACACCTCATATCTGCAAGCTCAGCCTGGCAATTCTTGGGCAGGTGGAAATACAGTATCTTCCTTGAGTAACATCCATTTTATTACACACTTTCCTGAGAGGGCAGTGTCTTTTGGAGGGGTCTTTGCCAAGCAAGCCCTCCAGCTCTTGGATGCCATGCCTCAAGGGCAGACCCCAAGGGACCCATTCCCTTCTTGTCAAAGCCCCAGAGCCAGGAGGGTGGTCGCCCACAGATGGGCAGCCTCCCAGGCCAGGTGGCCCAGCTGTCTCAGGGCACCCTAATACAACGTGGTAGGCTGGGGGAAGACCTTCCAGTCACCAGATCCTAGTCCATTTTGAGGTTCTCCACTTCTCCCCTTCTGGCTCAGGGTAAACCTGCTCACACAGGTGGCTCTAGGTGCATGATTGAGCCCCTACATCGACACAAGGCCAACCACTGCAGCGGGGGCCCTCTGCTTTGGGGCTCAGAAAAGGGGAGGTGATCATTTCCCCAAGGCGGGAGTAGTATCATGCTAGGGCAAAGGGTGGGGCCTGGAGCACTTTGATAACCCAGTGAAAACCCCTCTGTGCCCCAAGAAACATCTCTAAGGGGGGTAACTTCAAATGACTCAGGTTTAAAAAGCTGCAGTCCCAGGAGCGGAGCAGCAGGACCTTTGGTAAGTAGGAAAGGCCTGTTGGAAGCCCTCAGCGGGTGATGGTCTGCCTCCGAGGGCAGCTGCTGCCAACCCAATGCGGCTCACACCCTAAGGGAGCCTGGCCTATGTGGGGGGTCCCCCTCCTGCGGCTGAGCAAGGATGCCTCGCCCTGACCTTAGTCCCCATAATTTGACCCCCCTTCCCCCAGGGTCAGTCTTCTAAGCAACATCCAAAAGGATATTTCTGGCGTGTTTTTCCTTTACAGCCACTTCCTGCGTATTAATGGCCTTATTGATGCTGACAGTCTGAAAAACAAGAGGGAGGGGGAGGGGAGGGAGGATGAGATGAATACGCTTCTGAGAGTGGCTAGACCCTCCCAGAAGCCCCACCCCTTTCTCTCCATCCAATGACTCCTCTCTTGCTCTCCCAAGACCCTGGGGGCCCAGTGTTCCAGTGCAGGACCCCCAGCTGGGGGCAGAGGTGGGCAGGGCTCCCAGGCCAGCTGGCCAGGGCTCTGCTAAGGCAGCGGGCTTTGCTGCCTGGCATTGGCTGTGCCCAGCTGCTGTGCTCATCTGCCATTCATTCACTTGGCTCAACAACATGGCAATTAAAGCCTACACAAAGGGATGCTTTTCATCCCCGGGGAAACATTATTTCTCTGGAAGCAGGAGGAAGAGGCCCTGAGATCAGGGAGCCACTGTGGCCCAAGACCATCCAGCCACCCCTCTCTCACCACGGAGCCTTCCCTGGCTGGCCCAGGCCAGCAGTGGTCACTCTCTTCTCTTGCTGTCTCACTGCTGGGCATTTTCTAATTCCTAACCAGATTTCTTCACTTACAACAAATAGCATTAAAAATACTGTCTCCATTCAGGTCATTTAAAAACCATAGCTTTTTATTTTATTTTTTTTAAAGAAAAACAGAAAACACTGTTTTTTTTTTTTTGTTTGTTTTTGTTTTTAAGATTTACTTATTTATGCATACAAGAGCTGGGGTGCAGGCCAGAGGTGAGAGGATTCACCAGAGACAAAGTGAGGAGCAGAACAGGCAGATCCACTGAAATACACTGCTGAGGGGAGCAGCGGGCGAGACAGGAGAGGTCTGCCAGGCCATATGGGTCAGCTCCCTGACCGGGGATCGAACTCCTGCTGCAATGGCTTCAGATAGCTTCATAGTGACTTAACCCCTTGCACCACCAGGGAGACCCAAAAAACATAGCTTCCTAAATTAGCAAAGCCAACATACATATGAATATAACTACACAAACACTGAGATGGGATCACAGCATGTAGGGGTTTTTAAGTACAGGTTTTCCCTTTTTCTATTTTGCTTTACATCCTTTCTATCCCTAATACAGTCTGACAATCTGTTAGGTGTCTCCCCACTCTCCCCCCACCCCACACAGAAGGGATTCATTTTACCTCTGTTCTATAAAAACAGATCATTACACAGACATTTCCCTACATCTTGTCTTCTTCACTTGAAACGATCTCATGAAAAATTCTCTAAGTAGACTGAAGAAACTAGCTTATTCTTTAAAAAGACGTGCTATTGCATGGTGTGGGTGGATGTGATTTATTCAAGCACTCCCGTGCTGGTAGACAATCAATTTATTTCCAGTTTTTTTAAAGCATGGGGAAAAAATTTAGTGAGCATTCTTACACATACAGCTTTATTAATTAATGCTCCCCCCACTTTTGTTCCCTCCCCCCACCTCCAAGGGATAGAGTCCTAGAAGGGGGGTTACTGGGTCAGGATTAATTTTTTTAAGCTTTTTATTATGGAAAAGCCCAAACACATACAAAGATAAAGACCAGTAGAGTAGGCCCTCACATAGTCGGTCCCTGCATCGACCTCTATGAACACGTAGTCAAGAGTGGGGAACAGAACAGGCAAATCTACTGAAGTACACTGCTGAGGGGAGCAGCGGGCAAGTCAGGAGAGGTCTGCTGCGCCATGTGGGTCAGCTCCCTGGCCAGAGATCGAACATGTGCTGCAGTGTTGCTCTGTCAGAACATCCTTCCTGACAGAGAAGTCATAAACACTTTCAGTAAGTCTTAGGTTCAGCAGGCCACACTGTCTCCACTGCAACTATTCAAGTCAAGGAGCCTCAGTGGATACTTAAAGCAACACATATGGGATAAGCGTGGCTGGACCGGTAAGACTTCCTTTACAAAGCCAGGGGGGTCTGGATGTGGCCTGGACTTGGCTGACCCTTGCTCTTGACCATCAACCACAAATCCCGTTGCTCCCTGGTTTTTTCTGAGCTAAATCCCCGGTATTCAATCAATTTTACCAGTAAATAGTTACGTATGAACCTCTAACGAAAAAGGGACTCTCCTAAAAAGTTAACCATAATACTATGATTGCTAAAATTCCTTAATATCAAAAGGTTAGTGTTCACATTTCCCTGTTGTGTCAAGATACAAAAACTTTCTTGTACTTGTTTTGATCAGAACCAAATAAGGTCGCCAGTTTGTTTTCTTAAAAGGCACTAATGATTCACATTTCCACTGACAACGTACAAAAGTATCTCCACCAGCAACAGGGGTCATCACTTCTTTTCATTTTGCTGGTCTTATGGGTGTAGAGACATTTCGTCATTAATTGACATTTTCCTCGCTGCTAGTGTGTTTTGAGTCTGGCCTCACAGAGGTAAGTATGTCCATCTTATCTGAAGGTGTCTCTTGGAGGATGACTCTTACATTTTCTATTGTTTTGTTGTTCAGTTTTGACATTTACATTTTTCACATTTTTCTGGAAAAATATTTATCTATGTATTTGTATGTACATGCATATGGCACATATAAACTCAGGGTTATTTTCCCAAGGTCATACTATTAGATCCTAACTCTGGTCTGCTGGATCCTCAGTTCATAGGCCCAACCCTGAAACACAGTGACAAGCTCTGAACTGCACTGGGGCTGGCGGGGGTGGGTCTAGGTGAGGGATGTGTCGGAAAGGCCATCCCAAGGAAAGGCCTGGGCCTGGAGCTTGCAGGCTGGTGTGTGGAGGGCAGCATGCACGCAAAGGAGGAAGTGGGTGAAGCCAGAAAGGGGGTGGTGCTGTGTGTGGAAGGCAGTGAGTGGGCTTCTAAGCAGTGGGAAGGGACAGCAGCTGGAAGACTGGCCGGCAGCATTGCAAGTGCTAGAGGAGAGGTGGAGAGATTTTGCAGGTAGGGGTTGGAGGGAGCTTATTAATAGTACAGAAGTGAAGGGACAGAGGCCTCCACTGACATGATGGAGTAAAAATGGAAAGAAGTCTGACATAAGGCGGGCTACAGAACTAATTTCAGTAGGATACAGAATATATACAGCATGGAAGATTCGCGAGTAGGTGCTCCCAACACAGGGGATGCAGCAGTGAAGATGCTGCAAGGTTTTGAAGCCAGGCTGGTGAAGAACAGAGGCAAGACCCCTGGGCCCTCCAGGCCTAGAGGACACCAAGCAAAGGGCACAATGAGGCCGGGTAAGAGAGAGCCAATTTTAAAAGAATGAAGGAGTGAACTAGTAGTAGCTAATCATCAAGATAACGATAGCTAATGAATGTTTCTCAGGTCCTGTACTAATAAGCAATCTCATTAAAGTCTTAAAATTTCACATTCTACAAGGAGGGATCAGTATTAATCATCCCTAGTTTATAGACAAGGAAACTAAGACTTAGAAAGATTGAGTAAATTGCCCAAGGTCATTCCAACAGCAAATGTAGAACTGGGCCTTGACCTGGCGGTGTGGCCCTACTGTGTAAAGACACACAAGAGACACAGTTCTCCAATCCCCACACTGCAGACAGAGGACACAGAATCAAATTCAAGTGATTTCCACAGGCTGAAAAAATGGGCTAAACTTCACAAGATGCAATTCAGTATAAAGAAAAATTCCTATATTTATATCTAACCTCACTGCACAGTGAGATATCACAAAGCAGCACTGGTGGAAATGATCTAGCTTTCATGTATTTTTCATTAAGTTGCTAACTTAAGCAACATTTTGATGTTGCTTAAGTCTGATCAAAATGCAAGTCTGATCTCAAAATGCAGTGTGCAGAGTGACGGAGGGGATGGTTTCAATTCTCCGCAGATCAATTCACATATAAAGCACTATCCAACTTAAAATTTTATACATTATGCAGAAATTGACAATCTAGATCACTTCTAAAATAGAATGACCTCGATTGGAATGAACTCAGGATCTGAAGAAAACCTAGAGGAGTATAAGTATTCTATGGAAGGAGGAATAACTCCAGGAATCAAACCTAGACCGATGGCAGAAGTACAGGGAAGCAATTTCTGGGTAAATTTAAAGTTGTCTCATGGAAGACAGAAGTCCCCATTATTAGAAGCCTGCAGGCAGAGGTGTGGCAGCTTCTCTTCAGGGTGACTGTGAATGACACCGACAGGCTCAGGCTGTATTAGAAGATGACTTCTAGGCCCCTTCCCCTTTTTGACTCTGTAAAGGCCCTTGAGATGAGGTCCTCTTTGACCTCGTGAATACTGGGGATCCACAGAAGGCGCCTGAGCCTGGGAAGGTCCTGATGCTACAAAGGCCCCTCCATCCCCCTGAGTTTGAGAGATTACCTCTTCCATGCCCTAAGGAAAGGGTGGAACACTTCCACGTGGACATCGGTGTTGTAGCCCCTAGTAGGACCGCAGTTCACGGACAGAGGGCCTAGCCGTTCTCTAACCAACAGCTACAAGATCCAGGCAAGCCCTGCCTGCCCTAGTGAGGGCGGCCCCCACTCTCCTCTTGAAGCTCTGGCAGGGTCCTCGGTGTGCCCACAGATTAGAGCCAACATGCCCAAAGTTCTCCCACCACTTCCCGCTGTAGAAGTGCCCAAGAGGCAGGGACCAGCTGTAGCTACAGGCCCACTGCCCAGTTTCTGTGGCAAGGCTTTTGGGGCTCCGAGAGCATTCTGGGGTCTTTAAGGCTGGTTGTGGGTCCGCAGAACAAGAGACACAGGGACAGTTGCAGGGCAGAAGTTTCCTCTGCAGCAGCTCCCTGTGGCTGATGCACGCCTTGTGCCTCACACACTCCTCCGTCCCGCCTGACTTCCCCGCACACACCAACCTGCCTTCCTCCAGACTTGCCAGGGCACTCTGGCCAATAATTTCGTCTTCCCTTCTTTCTTTTTGAATTCCTATTTCCTATATTGTTTTACCTCCCTCATGAGCTTAAAATCCCGAGGGCAGGACCCTGCCTTTTTCCTTGTGAGCCCACACTAGCTTAGGCAGGGTGTAGAGTCTTAATAAACCATTAAATTATTAAGAATTGATTGCTTCCTGCTCAAAAGAGTACCAGGCATATGATT